CTTATCCCTCCTTTACTTCCCTCGCAGGCGTGAATTTAAAACTTAAAAGAGAATAGCTTCTCTTCTCCTAAAACATTATTCGAAAAGCAAAGCATTCTTCTCCTCTCCGGATGTCTACCAAGCACCCATTTCCCTCAATAAAATTATCGCTGTTTCTCCATCTTCTTCTCCACCTTCCTCTCCCCGAATCTCATCAATGGCATCAGAACCTAGCCTCTCCGCCAGCAATGAATCCATTCCACAAATGGAGCCGCCGCCGCCGGCGGTTGAGCGGTTCAAATACTCCGCTAGGGTTTTTCTACGGTCGATTTTAGGCCGTGCCGACGGCGGCAAAGGGTTAGCCGGGCAGAGAGTTCTGGTCGGGGGATGGGTGAAGTCTGGTGTGGAGAAACAGAAGCCGGGTGTTCCGTCGTCGTTGTCGCCTGGGGCTGCGGCTCATCCAGTTGTAAAGGACGTGACTTGCTCGGAGGTTCTCATTAACCGGCTCTCCATTCTCCGGTCGATCGCAAGGATTCTCACCGGCGGAGTATGCAACGCACTTTCGATCGGGAAGCCGGCGGACGGCCCAGCGAAGCCTGTGACAACCGTTGGCTACTTGCGGATCAGTGATGGGTCCTGCGCTGCCAATCTTCAGGTTCGGCTTATTTGCACTTCGAACACATTTTGCAATCATCGGCTGCATTTTGTTTTCTAGTTTTCTAAAAGTTGTCTATAGATATGGGAAAAGGCTCGAAAATTAAGTCATTCTTGCTTTCCTACGCTAGAATGGGTTTGTTTACTCTTTACTGTGGGGGACTTTTTTCAGATTAGATAAGCCAGGTAAAAATTAGTAAACCTAGCTAATTAATACGCTAAAGAAAGCTTGAATTTAATCGCAGATGACACACTTGCTTTATACTAGTCGTAAGTTAACATTGATAAGTTTTTTGAGTGAATTATTCCTTTTAATTTCGAAGACCAAACTGTTAATTGTTAGAAATATGGCTCTTATATAGTTATATCACGCTGATTGGAAGCCCTTGTTTGGGTAATTGCAGGTAGTCGTTGATTCATCTCTGCATACTCTGTCCCAAATACTGCCCACAGGAACTTCCATTCTAGTTGAAGGAGTGATAGCCATACCGAAGGCGCCAGGAAAGTATGCAGTGGAACTTGAAGCGGAAAAAGTTTTATATGTTGGCGGTGTTGATGCTGACAAGTATCCCTTGTCAAAAGGGCTGTTGTCAAGGGCATTCTTAAGAGCTTATCCACACCTTCGCCCACGAGCATCTATGGTAACTCAAGTTTCTGTATCCTTCCAAGCCGGTATTCCTTTCATGTTTGGTTCATTATGTTGATGATGATCAGAATAATATTAGTTGATGCTCACTCTGTATTTTTTGCTTGACGGAAGTAAACAGTGGGCACGGTTCTCCCTGGCCTATGCTAATTGCATTAAAAAAAATTGCAGAGGCTGAACATTTTGAATATTTCTTTGGAAAAATATGAATGAGAGTGTTTTATATAAGAGAACACTTGGGGGTAGGGGTGTCAATATTTGACACGACCTGAAAACCTGACTCAAATCTTACCCGAAAATTATGGGTTAGGGTCAACCCGGACCCGAAATGAGTCGGGTTCAGGTTCAACAATTTGACCCGTTTCAAAAATCGGGTCAGGTTCAGGTTGACCATTTGACTCGAAATTGACCCGTTTTTTTACCCGAAAACCCGTTTGACCCGGAAACCCAAGATTGACCCATTTTCGACCAATTTTGACCCAAAAAGCGGATATTATTGACCTGTTTTTTGGACCAAAAAACTAGCAATTTTTTATCGGTCCCAGGTCATTCGGGTTGTGTAGGGTTGACCCGGACCCAAAGTGGGTCGGTTTTTGGTCTGAAAAACCAAACAGTTTGCAAAAATGGATCGGGTTCGATTTGAACCGAATAATGCCGTGTCGATTTCGGATTCGACCCGAACCCGTCCCGTGACCGGAAAGTGACTTGGGATATTGCACGTCATGAACAACTCAAAACATGCCTCCAAATTTGAAAAAAACATCCGGCAACCAAAACTAGAAAAATATAGCCATTACATACCAAAAGCAACTTAGTGGAAAGCCATTGCGGCTGGCTATTAAGTTACAGGTTAGTCACTAACCTGCGTAGAATTTTTTTTTTCCTCAGTGGAGGTTTGCTGACTTAGTGGATATATATATATATATAATTGTAGGCACGCAAGTCATGGAATTTAATATAATAAAACTAAGCTTAAATTTATTCACTAATGACAATGATAATTATGAATATCTAATTATATAATAAATTAAAAATATCAAATTTAATGGAAGTAATAGGATCACATAAATTTGTGAAACATTAGTAAATATGATTATAAAAAAATGCAAATTTTGCTCCTGCTCAGTGATTATATAGTTAATGATATAATTAAGGCATATATATGTAATTGATACTAAATCAAATAAGTAGGATGTCAAGCCAAATAAAATTTAAAACAATATAAAGTAGCCTTTGTAATATTGAAAATTTATTTTGTATAATTATAAAAGAAATATTATTCATTTTTTATTACGTAAAATGGCGGCTTTCAAATGACCCGGTTAGGAAAGTAGATGTATTAGATTTGACTTATGTTAAGAAAGGTAGAGGTAGACATAAAAGGACTTGATTTGAGAATATTAGAAATGACCTTTCTTTATTAAAGTTAAATGAAAATTTAACTTTTAACAGGGCACAACGGAGAAAAATGATTCATGTAGCCGACCCCACATAGTGGGATAAAGGCTTGATGTTGTTGTTGTTGTATCCTTCAGATATTTTATGTTGATCATTTGCTCAATCAAACATTTAAACATCTAGACACAAACACAAAGTTATTCTCCTTGGAATCTTCTTTGCTCTTGCCTCTTCTAAATCTTGAACTCATCTTCAAGCTAAAGAGGCTCCAAAGAAACTTAATGAGTAGGGTTAATGTCACCATGATTTAGCTAATTACTTGAGTAACTTGTAGAACACTTAGTAAATCGTTAGATGTCAATTGATATCACACAAAATTTATATCATTAAATTACTAATAAGCCAATCTTACACTAGGACTTATGGGGTCAACATCTTAGTGTCAAATATAGTCATGACACTCTTCAGTTTTATAGTTGTAATTTGCTATAAAATACAAACTAAGAAGTAATCAGATTCTATTTGCATTGAAGGTATCATTTCCAAATTTATATTAGCTATTTTATTACAATCACCCTTGTTTTACAAATGTAATCAGAATTTGCTGCTTAAATATAGTTTTACAAATGGAAACTCAACATGAACTAATGAAGAATAAGAATTTATAAAGTGGATCCCAAATAGTGGGATAAGCCTAATGATGATAATAAAAATATTGATCTGCTAAAAGTTTAGGCGCTGATATTTCCATCTGTTTTTCTATTATTAGTGACCGTTTTGACTAAATGCTTTTCCGTAAATTTATGATGTGATCATTCTATTACTTCCTAGTGTACTGCACATTGTACATGTTTTTCTTGGTGGAGCTGATTCTCTTTCTGATCTAGAATATTGGAAGATTAGTGGAATTGCCTTAATAAGAATTCCATCTGCACCTACCATACCTTGCTCATGATCGGATGCAGCAATCCTCTAGTTGGCATAAAATTTTGTTGATTTTTATTAGGCCATGCTCGTTTAGTACTTCGATGATGTTCTCAGAGTGAAAATATTTCATTTGTGGTACTGAAAATCACTTTATCATCAAAATTGAGCGAGATATTATAGGAACTTAGGCTTCATTTGAGATGACTTTTTTATTGCTTTTTGAAGCAGCTTTTTAGTATAAAAATTAAAATTTTTGTACTACAAAGCTGGTTCAAGAAGCAATAAAAAGGCCGCCCCAAACGAAGCCTTAATCTTCATTAGATTATTAACTTGTACTTTTTATGCCACTTGCCAAGTTCCAAGATGATTATTTAAGTTATGATGTTGATTGTCAGAAGATTATATTCATGCTTTTCTAATATTATATAATTAACTCACTAGATTTTGTTTTTTCTTGTTAACTCATGATGCAGGTAGCCTCAATTGCACGAATTCGTAATTCACTATCACATTCTACTCATCAATTCTTCCAGAGCAATGGTTTCCTTAACGTGCAGATGCCCATCATTACCACTACTAATTTAAGGAACCATAAGAAGATGTTTGAAGTCTCAATTCTATCAAGCAAAGCTGATGACAGCCTAAGACTAGCTGCAATTAATGATCAGGAGGCCAAAACACTTGAAACTATCAAAGCTGCCATTAAGGAAAAAAGCAAGAGAATTGAGGAGCTGAAGAGAAGTAATAGCAACAAAGAGGCCCTTCTCACTGCATTGCAAGACCTCCAGAAGGCTAATGAACTAGCTCATCAACTGGAACATAAACATACTTCAATCTTGACGAAGACTATAAAGGAAGATTTTTCTGAAAATTTCTTTGGCCGCCAGGCATACTTGTCATCTTCTACACAGCTTCACCTTGAAAGCTATGCTTGCTCTCTTAGTTGTGTCTATTCCTTCGGACCAACATTTCAAGTTGAAGATGGGCAGCCATCAAAGAGTTTGGCTGAATCATGGAAGGTTGAGGTTGAACTTGCCTTTGCGAGGCTAGAAGTATGTAACTTCTAGAATTCTTTTTCTTCTGACATTTTATTTGCTCCTTTTAGTTTTTTTTTTTTTTTTTTTTTTTTTTTTTTTTTTTTTTTTTTTTTTTCATTTTTTATGACATTATTACATTGGAAGAACAGCGGTATCCAGTGGTGCAATAGGTAATGAATACAAAATTAAGCTAATGTTAAACACTAATAGTTCATGAACAGAGCTATTCATTATGCTTTATTTAATTTGTTTTATATTAGCATGATTTGCTAAATTTGCTTCAAAAAGCTAAGTGATGCCCTCTTTTATTGTCTCAGTTGTTATGTTTTAGTTATTTATTATAGGCAAATATCAAGAAGCAAATTGGTTTAACCATCTTGCAGGCTTTTATTTTTTCCTCCATTATTAGATACATCACGCATCCAATATGAGCAAATTGTTCACTTTTTTTAGCCATCTTGCAGGCTTTCATGTCAAGAATATGTTATGTTGTTCATGCCCAAGATCGCTAGATTCCAACATCGTTAAGGCACTTAAACAATCGAAAAACTCTATATGATTGGGGGAATCAATACGAGTCATCCAATGGAGCACTTCGAACCTGCCCCGGATCTTCTCTATATTTACGGGTTGCACCATTCATGAAAATCTATAAACAAACCCCCACACTCTACATGAGGGGAAAGAGAGAGAGAGAGAAGAAGAGAGGTGGGAGAGAGAGAGAGAGAGAGAGAGAGAGAGAGAGAGAGAGGGAGAGAGAATAACCAATCACTTTTAAATTCATGATCAATTACCTTTTTACTTGCATCAAAACAGCAAAATGAAGCTCCTTTGCAGCTTATTCCTTTGAACTAATTTCTTTTTTACAATTTTTTTCTAAGTCCAAATGAGCTAGTGTACAGGACGCAATGAACTGTGCAGAAGACTTTTTGAGGTACCTATGTCATTCTATCATCGAACACTGCCCCCATGATATGCAATTCATGTACAAGCGAATCGACAACAAGTGTATTGACCGCATTAAATCTATGGGATCGAGCCCTTTTGCAAGAATCAGTTATACAGAGGCTGTGGAAATTTTAAATAAGGTAAAACAGCACAATTTGTTGCTCATGTTGTTTTTCTTATCTCATTAAGACTTAGTTTGGGACGGCTTTCTTACTGCTTCTTAAAGCAGCTTTCTAGTACAAAAATTGTAATTTTTGTGCTAAAAAGTTGATTTAAGAAACAGTAAAAAAGTCGTCCCAAACGAGCCCTAAAGCTACTGAATTGTGTTTTTAAGAGGTTTGAAGAAAAAGTTGAGTGGGGCACGATTCTATCTAGAGAACATGAAAGGTACCACTCTTTAATGCCTGCATATTGACTTCTTGTCTGTTAAGTCTCTGTACTTTGTTTCTTAGAATTCAATTTCAAATATTTTTCAATTATTATGACAGTATTCTGGCTGATGAGATTTATGGTCGGCCAGTCATCATATATGACCACCCAAAAGATTCGAAGCCCTTTTATTTGCGGGTTAGAGATGATTTTAAAACAGTTTCGGCTTTCGACATTATTGCACCAAAGGTGAGTAGTATGTGCTTATTTTCTCTGAGCTTCACTTTATATTACAAATAACTGAGCTTATAGAATACATTCAGGCTGGAAAATTAGTTCAGGGAGGCCAAAAGGAAGAGCGTCTTGATAAGCTCATAGAGAGGTAAAAGGTTGATAATTTTGTTTTGTTTTTTAATGAATTTTGAACACTAGAGCATATTCATATAAACATTTTAAAAACATATATTTTTAAACATAGAGATTTGTGTTTTTTGTTTTAAGCTCTTCATTGCCTGATTTATTTTCTTTTATGAATATTGTGAGGTTGGTTGTTGTCTGGCATATGTTATTTAATTTTATATTATTAATGGATGTAGCTGTTTAGTTTGGTGGTATTTTATAATAATGATTTCAAAAATGATATTTAAGTTATATTTTTTATGATATTATAGATCTCATTCAAATCTGCCGACATATTGATATCATGCCATTTTATGGCAAAAAAAAAAAAAAACAGACCGGCCTCAGATAATATTATATTTAGGCTTCGTTTTGGAAATTTTTTTTTTTGCTTTCTAAATCAACTTTCTATTATAAAAAAATTCTTGAATTAGAATTTTTTTACTAGAAAACCGTTTTAGAAAACAGTAAAAAAATTGTCCCAAACAAAGCCTTAGATAAAAATAGCATTGAACCAACTATCTAAATAATATAATTATGAAAAAAGATACTGTTATTTGAACAACATTGAATTAAACAACCCCTATGAGTGAAGATGGACAGAGTACCCAACGAGGCTTAAGGTGGTTGATGGGCGAGCACGGTTGGAAACCCCCCATCTCGGGTTCGAATCCCCTCTACTACGGCCAGCTCACATCTTCAGTGGGGCAAAGCAAGTGTGAACTGATGCCGGTGGGTGACATCATTAGGTTCCGACGAGGGAATAGTTACGCCGCTAAGCTCTCCCTTCAAAGTGGCAGCGGATAGATACAGAGTTTTGTTCTTTGTTTAAAGATGACTTTGCTATTTTGTTCAGGGGAAGAAAGCTTGGCTTGGTCCAAGAAGACTATGATTGGTACTTGGATCTGAGGCGACATGGCACTGTACAGCACTCAGGTTTCAGCGCTGGGTTGGAAGAAATTGTGATGTTCGTAACTGGCCTTGATGATATCAGAGATGCAATTCCCTTCCCCAGAAACAGAGGGTCTGCTGATACATAGTAATCTGCTACTCAAAGTCCTTTGTTATCCATGAATGCTTTGCCTAAATATACATTGCTGTACGTTTGTTTCCTCGTGTACAAATGCTGGCTGAACTGCTTCCATTATATCTATACTGCAAATGAATAAAAAAGATGGGCTCAATGAGAAAATTGCTTTGTAAAAATATACATTTTGATTTTTTTATTTGTTTACCAACTTTATAAAATTTTGTAGCCACCCAAAGAACATCCTAAGAATTTGGATGGGGTAACTTTCTCATAATTTTATTTTCTAAATGATTCTCACAATCATATTTGGTTATAATTTTTTTTAGATGAATATTTTTTTATAATTAAATTAGAATATGATAATTGTAATATATATATATATATATTCATAATTATTTTAAAATAATCTATCGTCTCTGTAATAATTCTATAATATTTTTCTATAGAAAACTCCATTATATTAAAAATTTAATTTAAAAAATAATAAGAAAGTTGTTTTACTTTTTTTTTCCCTTGAAAATAATGAAATATATATAATCTCGACCTCTACTTTTTGCTAAAATAAATGGTGGCAAATTATTGGAAGTTTTATGGAAAATGTTTTAATAAAAGAAACACAGAAGAAGAAGAACTGTTACTGCGGAGACCCGCCGATAATTTCTCCTTCAGTGCTTCTCTGTTTGACTATCTCGGCATCTCCATCTCCATTGCTTCAAAAACCAGAGTAGACCGAAGAGGATAGGAGAAGACATTAACAGAGAAGCAAAGCGATAGAAGACAATGGACGAAGAAAACGGGGAGGAGTATTTGTTCAAGGTGGTCATTATCGGGGACTCAGCAGTAGGGAAATCGAACTTGCTGTCGAGATATGCGCGGAACGAGTTCAACATAAATACCAAGGCGACAATCGGGGTGGAATTTCAGACACAGAGCTTGGAGATCGATGGCAGGGAGGTTAAGGCCCAGATCTGGGACACTGCTGGCCAGGAGCGCTTTCGCGCGGTCACTTCCGCTTACTACCGCGGCGCCGTTGGTGCCCTCGTTGTCTACGACATTTCCCGTAGCTCGACGTTCGAGAGCGTCCAGCGATGGCTCCAGGAGCTCAACAGTATGATCTTGCTTTCCTTTCTTCTCTGGAGTGCTTTTTGATTTGCTCCAGAAATTCGTTCTTTCCTACTTCATTTTTAAGTTCCTTGAATTTCCAGCTCCTTGTGGTGGTTGAGAGAGGACTGTAAAGATGCACATTTGCTCATTCTTGGGGTATCTGCCCTTATTGAGTGAAGAAAGTGATTTCACTGCCAGATCCGGTTGATTTTGTTTTTCGGTGTCTCATTTATTTGCACGAGTTTTTTTAGGTAGGGGAGTATCTCTTACGTTCTTGTTGACGATTTCCGTTTCAGCGGTAATTTTTTCCTTTAGTTACGTGGAATGATGAAAGTTGCCTTTCCCTTTTTGTGGTTTTTTAATTTTCAGAAAAAAAAAATCTACGAACAGATAGCATCATGTTAGCAAAAAGATACTTTCCGATCATGAGATTTATTATTATTATTTTTTAATGTTTCCACGGTCTCAACTCCTACCGTCACCATCAAGTTTTTACAAGCATCGAAGAATATTGTTAATTGCACATTGTTTGCAAGCAGAGTCGATGATGACAATGTTTGCTGCTAAGATCTAATTTTAATTCTAAACAGATAATTTTATCTTATGGATAGAGCAATTTTGAACATATTTTGCTCAGGTGTCTCCCTTCAATACTGAAGCAAAAAGTGAGAGTTTTTAGAGGTTCTCTTGTGCATTTGTTTATCCTTATATACTGCCAAGCCCAAAAAAAATGGAAGCACTTTTTTTTTTTGGTGAACTAGTGCATGAAAAATAACGTATTAGTTTATCAGGCATTCTTATTTAACCTAAATCACCAATTTTTCATTTTTTATTGAAGCTTAGGTTCCATTTAGCTTAGCTTTCTACTACTTTTTTCTACTTCCTTGAACAATAGAAGCAGCTTTATGTTGTTCGGGATTAAATTCATGAGAAAAAGTTCTACTCGAATACAATATTGTTAGAACGGTAGCTTAGGTAGTGGAAAACAACCGCTTACTATGATTTTCCTGAGAAATGATGCAAGTTGCAGCTGATTTTTGACGTTGTGAGATCTGAGAAAAATGATGTCATGAGCATGATCTTGACTTGGCTTTCACATGTTTGAAATGTAGCGTAAAGGGTACCGAAGTGGGTGTAGAATTTCTAATGATGAAATGTATCAGGTAAATATAGATTATTGGAGGACTGATGTTGTGCTTGATGAATCGGTCAACTAATCTATTTGCATCTAATAGGTTTAGTCATACCATAGATTCATAGAGTCATGTGAGGTTGGCAAGGATTTCATGTGAAATAATGCATGCAAGACAACTGATTTTAACAAAATGAGATTTTAGACATATGGTGGCATGCTTATGATATTAATTAGAGTCGTCATGCACATGATCTTAAGAAGAATATTATATTTATGAGTGTACTTATTAAAGCTTGATGCAAATATTAGGTGATTGATGGACCGGTCTAGCCAATCCAACCTGGACCGGCATTTGTCTACAGGAGGCGGAAGGATTCCGCCTCCAATATGCCGCCCACTTTAGGGGGTGGGGTCCAACAATAAATCAAGGCTTTAATGTGGAGTTAAAGAGAAGATTACGAGGGAAATTCAAATTAGAAGGGCTGTTTGGGTAGTTTACTGAAGGAATTGTATGTTTAAAGATGTGGGGAGGCTAGGGTTAGGTTCTTATCTCGGATTTTGACTGAAAAAGTGAAGGTTCGTGTGTCTTGAGTGGGCTCTAGTGGAGTCTAGAAATTTGGGAGAGCCGAATCTTCCTCTCTAATAGAAGATTCATTGTTTCTTGTTGATTTTCTTCATCTAATTTCAATCAAAAGTGCAATTTCTTGTTTTCTCCGTTCAAGTTCGTTGCAATTCCTGTTTTCCCAGTTGCTGAAATTAAATTTCAGCAAGTAATTTTCTGGTTTTCTACAAGGGATTCCTATCAGTGATGTTGAGGTCCTTAAATAATTTACAATTCTCAAGGTGTATTGGTTGCCATGAAAGCCAATAGGGTTTGTGGACTCATATTTCTTAAGGTGCACTTTGTGTTTAGCTGCTTCAGATTCTTCTTTGTTATGTTGAAGCGTCATTGGGAAGCATATAAGAGTTTCATTTGGGGCATGTTTGCTTCTTTGTTTTGTTAAGTTAGATGTATGGTTTCTTTGAATGAGATACCAGTGCTACTATCTAGTTTTAGGGGAAGCTCCATCTTATATCAGCTTGAGGCTTGGATTTTTTACTTTGATAATTTCTTTTTTTAATGTTAGTATGTTTTACATAATTTTTATTGGTTCTCTAATGCTCTTAGTTTTGTTCAAATATCTTTGCAAGTAAGAATATATTTGCGTTGATTAAATTATAATTGTTCATTGATTTTGTACGGTTTGAATTTCTCGTTGATTTTTTTGGATTTTTTTATCATTACATCAACGAATGAGTTCTAATTCTTATGTCTATAGTTTGCAGAAAATAGGTTGTTGGCTTATTTGGTAGTTTGGTATAGATGATTTTAGAAAATTTCCATGATGTATCAAGATCTTATATTTTTTCTGAAAATACAATTGATGTAGAATGGATAGGGTGGGGGGGTTCATTTGAAATTTGAATTTCAAATTAAATGGGAAAAGGAGGGAAGGGGTACTTAATTAATCCCTTAAATGGAGTTCCAATTTTTGGGATGGAATTAATTAAAATAAGAAAAAGAGATTGGGGGCCTTAATGGAGAAGCATTAATTAGGTGGAGAGAGAGAGGGGGTGGAATTAAAGCTTGCCTATTCAATAGTCTTAAATTGAGGGAGAAAATTTTATTCAAATCCAATTTGAAATTGAATTAGAATTGATTTAAATACATTCCTAAAATAGATCAATTAATTTAGGAAATTATTTGAATTTCAAATTGTGTTTGATTTGAATTCAAAACCTTTCCAAGATAATCATTAATCTAATTTTGGGAAGAAATTTAAAGAGGGCATATGTAAGGGGCCGGCTAAGAGAGAGAGAGAGGGGGAACTAGGGGTGTCTAGGTTCAATGTATTTGGAATAGGGATTAATTAATCAATCAATTTTAGAATTGATTAATTAATTGAATGAAAGAAGTTTCCAAAAATAAGGTAATTAATAAGGATGGATTTGAAATTCAAATTAGATTAATTTGAATTTAAAATCTTTCCAAATTAACTTAAATAAGGAAAGAGGGATTTTTTTTAAGGGAAGTGGGACTAGGGAAGGAGGTGGCCGGCGGGTGGGTGGAGCCATTGTGGCTCTCAGCCAAGAGTAGGGAGAAGGAAATTAGGGGTTGGTATTGGCCGGCGGCAAGGAGAAGGCCGGCGGGATGGTGCTTGGGCCGGCGGGGGAGGTGGTTGGCTGTAATGTAAGATCGTGGGCAAGGGTTGTGGGAAGAGGCCGGCGGGTTTGGGTGATGGAGGGGATGAAGCCAGTGGATTGGAGAGAATATGGAGGTGACGATTAGGAAAATAAGGAGATACAAAAACAAAGAAAATCGAAAAGATAAAAGATAGAACCGTGAGCCCGGACACTTCCTGCGGCTGACGGGTGATATGTTGCCCTTCACCAAGATACTTCAAGCCACTAGTCCGGAACCATCCTGCGGCTGGTGGAAATTACGATTCCCTCCCATAGGGATTCTCACCAAAGTCCTCCCAAGAAACAAGAGTGCAAAAACAAAATTTTTTTATTAATAATCCATCATGCTAATACAAAAGCAAGGGCCTCTATATATAGGTCTCAGAAATTAAAAGACTAAAATAAGACGAATATCTCCCTAGAGCTTACATAAGACTAGACCCTTAAGTAAGGGTAAAAATGAAAAATGCATAATTAAAATAAAAATTACAAATAAAAATTTAAGATAATGTGGAACGATCACGACCGTCGATCTTCAGCTCCTCCTCGGATAGGCATGGATGGTTGGATGTCTGTATCAACAATCTATTTGATTTTCAAAAGGTTAAATGTGTCAAATCAAAACTCTTGGGGCTTATAAGGATCAATTACACTATCAATTTAAAGCTTGCAAAGAAGGCAAAATTGTGATTTTGAGTATTATGCAAGATTTGTAAGTCTTGTAGCTAAACATTATTTGGCTTTAGATTGTTTTGTTACTATTATTTATTTTAAGAAATAAATTATGGATTAACTAACCTACAATTTACAAAACAAAATATTGCATTAGATTTATACATAGTTTTAGATGTTGGTGAATATTAAAACAATTCTCCTATTTGGAATATTGCATTTATGCTTATTCCAATAAAATCTCTCTAACAAACTCTTCTAAAACTTATTGAAGCTAAACCAATGCAAGATTCTTGTTTAATGGAATATGAACTTATTGAAGAAATTGCAAATCATGAATATTATTTTGATGATGTTTTAGATGTAAAAAAGGATTTATAGTTACATTATGAATGTATACATGATGATGATGTTGATTTTGAATATGCACCTAAATTCGATCATGTTCATGGACCTTGAAGTATTTTCTATCAAGAATCAAAATTAGAATTTGAAATAAAAATGAGTATGGGTTTGAATCTGAATTTGAACTTTCAATATTAGTTGAGTTTATTTCTGAATTTGAAGGTGAACAAATCACACACGGTGTATTTGATGAATCCAATGAGCAATCTGAAAATACAAATTTTGATAGATCTATTGGTATTGTTCCCATATTGAAGTGATGATGGATTTCTTTTTAGTGGCATTACAAATTTATAAAATAAATCTTATGATGAGAGCTAAGTTGCATCAATATTTTTTTGGGAGTTTACTAATAATAAATGTTTTGAACTAAACCAGAAAAAGAAAACTCCATTCATCTGGTTGATTTTAAAAGTGCGTAATTTATTATAAATGATCTTCAAGCTATTTAGGCTAGCTTTTTTTAAGAGTTTTCTCGCCCGTATATGCGTATGATAATTGTGTGATTTATTTGCTTGTAATTTAATTATCATTTTATTTTCTTGAAACTAGTTATAGATCATTATTAG